CGCTCTCATTTACGCTGGAGCTGAAAGATGCTCCAGTAAATGAACAGTAAACACGTCGATGATTAGTGATATCTGCTTTCGTTTGAGGGAACATATGTAACATGAGTATTATTCTACCAGCAACAATAATAACATGCCACACACTCACAATGCAAATCTGTGCGAATTGTAAACGACAGACTTCTATAATCACTGGTGCGACGTCGCAAAATTGGGAGTAGTCCCTATCAACTTGCTATGGTCCAAGGTACAAGATAAGTAAGTGATTTTTATTTATTTAGCGCAGTTTACAGACCAAGGTCACCCAAAGCACTTTACAATGTTCAGGGTTCAGATATTGTTGCCATCACTCCCCACACGGTGATGAAGGAAGCAAAACGCCAAACACACTGGTGCATCAAAGCCCCGACCAACACCATCCATAAGTTCACTCATTACATTCAGACCTAGTGTGCATGTTTTTAGTGGTAGGAAAAACCGGAGTACCCAGAGGAAACCTACACAGACACGGGGAGAACATGCAAACTCCACTCAGAAAGGCCCTGTTCCAACCTGGAATCGAACCCAGGACATTCTTGCTGAGAAGCGAGAATGCTATCTATTCAGCCACCATGCTGCCCATAACATGAAACAAAAGGTCTAAAAACAACTTATGTGGAGGGGGTCCTGATCCAATAAGAACAATTCTTTTTACTCTAATGTAAACAATAATGATATATGTGTACATTCATTTTCCCTTTTGATTTCGAAACATCTTCTGACTTTAAAAAATGATATTCTCCAAAAGCTCAAATGCATAAATGTCTTAGTGTATGCATATAACCTGACTCCAACTCATTCCAAATGTTTACCATCCGGAGGACAAGGCTGACAATAGGAAGAGACCGTGTTGACCAAGCAGTATTGACACACTTGTTTTGTCACCTGAGCACTTGTTCCACTCATTTGTTTTTGTTATGACCCGCAGAATGAGCCAACAGTGGCCACAGAGCATTAGCACACAGAGAGGACGCAGGGGCCGGGCAGAGGGACGTCAGGCCCTGAGAGCGTACATTAGGAGCGGACTGCTGAAGAAGCTGATTTGAACATGAGCGAGGTGGAGCCAATATCCTTATATGGGCATTTGTTCCAACCAGGGACTGGGATTGCTCCGTAATAGAGGCAGGTGCAAATGAACGTGTTGCTAAGACGATTGCTAAGGCAAGCTGGAGGTCCCCCTGTGAATGAAGACATCTGATTGGTCAATCCTCATGGCTCAAACTGGATTTACAAAGACACTAAATTCATCAAAAAATATAAACAACAGGATCACAGAGAGTGCTAAAACCGCTTTTTTATATGACAAAAAAATAAATATACAATAGTTGGAACAAAACTTTGTCCATGAGCAGGTCCATACTGTGCTTAATTGAGCTTAGTCCATCTATATACTGTACATACACGTTCATGGTTTGGCTTCGTTCGAGACCCAACAATCGTCGATAAACACCAGGAGCGAGACTACGGCCGGTATGTGCCACCTGTGCGTCTGTTACTGTGGGATTAGGGCTGCTCCATCACTGACACACGTGGATTAAGTCTTCTTAGGGCAAAAGCCAGAGCAAGCTGCGTCTTGTGTGCGAGCAATCATGCACTCAAATACAACATCTCTCCCTTTGTGGGCAGGATTTCTTTTAAAGAGGTGCTACCAGTCTAATTGTGGTAATTACTCTCAGTGGAGTTTGTTTTCTCGGTGTGGGCTTCTTGTGATTGAGAATTTATTACAATTCAAACGAAGCAAAATACTCAGTGTGGCGTCTATGAAAACAATTATTTGGCTGTTGGCTTTGAGAGTGCTTTATTCGAGGCTTGTACAGAACCTGGCACTGTCACCCACAAGTTCAAGAGCGGGCTAAAGGTGTGTCAACATTGCTAACAAGTGAGATGGAAGGTAGGAAATAATACAGAACAATACTTTAATCTCCTCTCTACATGTCCATTTGTCCCTTTGTCTCTTGCACAGGTGCACAACTTAGAGTCGTAGTTGCATTCATGTGTTTTAACCTTCAGCGCTGGTATTCTGTGTTCCTCCCATGCAATGCAGTATGATAGAAAGACTTCATGTCTGATCCCACAATCAACAATCTACTTATTGAAAGCTCTTTTTACACACGGCGTGTCTTAAGGGCCTAAGAGAAGTGGGAAAAGCTTTGTCCCGTGGAACAAGAATATATGAATGAATGAGGAGCGCAGGAGAGACGTCCGATGTGAATGAAAAGTGTGAGTGAAAATGATTATGTGGCTGGTTGTTACAGTGTGTTTGCCCCAGGGCCTTGTCACATGACACGGTCTGTTTGTGGCTCCTTTGTCATGTTTCACCCAGTATGCACAGAGAGAGCAGGGAGTGCACCGCCTCAAGACTGAGTTTATTTTGTACCTTTTGCAGGTCAAGAAATGAACCCTTCTATTCTGAAAGACTGTCAGACTGTCGTGGTGAAGAGGGAGCGGAGTCAAAGCTATGGATTTACTGCTATTGTTTTTTTGTTTGATATGCCTTAAAGTGAATGTCCTCGTAATCTCCTTCAGCAGCTCTTACTGGTTGTGGTTTTTCCAATTTTGCATGTTTTTTTTGCTTTTTACAGCAAACCTCTCATGTGCCATGTGTATACTCCACCAACCTCATATACAACATCATATAACCGCTGGTGTAACATATTTAAAGTCAGAAGAATAGGTTTGTGTCTTGTGTGCACTGCAGTGATTAGTTCAGAGGTCTTCCAATAGCCCTCAGTCCTGCTCCTCACAAAGTGTTTGCCTTCATATATACTGCGACTTCAAAGAAGTGCTTTAATATACAGTGCCTTGCGGAAGTATTCGGCCCCCTTGAACCTTTCAACATTTCGCCACATTTCAGGCTTCAAACATAAAGATATAAAAATTAATTTTTTGTCAAGAATCAACAACAAGTGGGACACAATTGTGAAGTGGAACAAAATTTATTGGATAATTTAAACTTTTTAAACAAATAAAAAACTGAAAAGTGGGGCGTGCAATATTATTCGGCCCCCTTGCGCTAACACTTTGTAGCGCCACCTTTTGCTGCAATTACAGCTGCAAGTCGCTTGGGGTGTGTCTCTATCAGTTTTGCACATCGAGAGACTGGAATTCTTTCCCATTCCTCCTTGCAAAACAGCTGGAGCTCAGTGAGGTTGGATGGAGAGCGTTTGTGAACAGCAGTCTTCAGCTCTTTCCACAGATTCTCGATTGGATTCAGGTCTGGACTTTGACTTGGCCATTCTAACTCCTGGATACGTCTATTTGTGAACCATTCCATTGTAGATTTGGCTTTATGCTTTGGATCATTGTCCTGTTGGAAGATAAATCTCCGTCCCAGTCTCAGGTCTTTTGCAGACTCCAACAGGTTTTCTTCCAGAATGGTCCTGTATTTGGCTCCATCCATCTTCCCATCAATTTTAGCCATCTTCCCTGTCCCTGCTGAAGAAAAGCAGGCCCAAACCATGATGCTGCGACCACCATGTTTGACAGTGGGGATGGTGTGTTCAGGGTGATGAGCTGTGTCGCTTTTACGCCAAACATATCGTTTTGCATTGTGGCCAAAAAGTTTGATTTTGGTTTCATCTGACCAGAGCACCTTCTTCCACATGTTTGGTGTGTCTCCCAGGTGGCTTGTGGCAAACTTTAAACGAGACTTTTTATGGATATCTTTGAGAAATGGCTTTCTTCTCTTCCATAAAGGCCATATTTGTGCAGTGCACGACTGATTGTTGTCCTATGGACAGACTCTCCCACCTCAGCTGTAGTTATCTGCAGTTCATCCAGAGTGATCATGGGCCTCTTGGCTGCATCTCTGATCAGTCTTCTCCTTGTTTGAGATGAAAGTTTGGAGGGACGGCCGGGTCTTGGTAGATTTGCAGTGGTCTGATACTCCTTACATTTCAATATAATTGCTTGCACAGTGCTCCTTGAGATGTTTAAAGCTTGGGAAATCTTTTTGTATCCAAATCCGGCTTTAAACTTCTCCACAACAGTATCTCGGACCTGCCTGGTGTGTTCCTTTGTCTTCATGGTTCTCTCTGCGCTTTAAACAGAACCCTGAGACTATCAAAGAGCAGGTGCATTTATACGGAGACTTGATTACACACAGTTGCATTCTATTTATCATCATCAGTCATTTAGGACAACATTGGATCATTCAAAGATCCTCACTGAACTTCTGGACTGAGTTTGCTGCACTGAAAGTAAAGGGGCCGAATAATATTGCACGCCCCACTTTTCAGTCTTTGTTTGTTAAAAAAGTTTAAATTATCCAATAAATTTCGATCCACTTCACGATTGTGTCCCACTTGTTGTTGATTCATGACAAAAAAGTAATTTTTTTATATCTTTATGTTTGAAGCCTGAAATGTGACAAAATGTTGAAAGGTTCAAGGGGGACGAATACTTTCGCAAGGCACTGTAGGTTATTATTATTTTTTAAACATGAAGTAAACTAAATGATGGATTGTGCTTAATTTACATGATACTACATGACCCAATAAGATTATAGATATGATCCAATACATCCATTATTTGTAGCTGACATCACCTTTAATTCTAATCAACTACTAAGTCAAATTGAATATTGAAAGGGGGAAGAGCTAAAACTTCAGTTTGAGATTAATGTTCTACAGGTGACACTCTGAAAATTAAAATATCATTCAAAAGAATTTCTGTAATTCAATTTTAAGTGAGATATAGCAAGCCTTTATTTGTTGTAATGTTGATAATTATGACTCACAGATTGTAAAAAAACAGAATATAACATGGACTGTAAGCCATTATGTCAACATTTTAACAAACCAAAGCTTGGCATATGTCACTCTGCATGTAAAGAGTCTATATCATGCATTGGTTTCACATTTTAAGCTGACTTTCAAAAATTGGACTTTTGAACTAATTTGAACTAATTTAGCCAGTTTCGCTTTTAGACTAACTCACACACTGCACTTGTAGTTGGCCGATTATCCCCCTTCCTCATCCGCGATCATGAGGGCTGGTGGCTGGGCACTGGCTGAGGGAGGAGCTGTTCCTGAACATGTCGCAGCAGAATGCTCCAGGGGAAAACCCAGGACTTGCCGTTTGGACTTTTGCAAACAGTATCAATAAAAGTAATTAACAAACATCTTTTAATGCAAACAGAGACCAAACAAATCAGATAAGGATAAGGGATGATCCGGGACTTTTAGGAACATGGGTTTCCGTGTTATATGGGCGTATGGACTTTTATTGTTTGATTTTCTAACATTTTCGGTCACATAATTGACCATTATGTGACGCATTATTGAGACCACTGCTGTTGTGATTTTGGGCTCTACAAAAATATATACAAATATAAACAAAAATACAAAACATGTATAAGATTTTTTCATTGTTAATTTTGGTCATTAAAAATAATAACTAGAAACTTGCAATGGCTGAAGCCATTGCGATTGACTGCGGAACAGATCTAATGTGGAAATCTGCTAAAAAAAATCCTTGAAATCCTTTAAAAAGCCTTGAAACTGTTAAAATACTTGATAGATATTTGAAACTCCTGAAGTCCTTGAAATTGTTGAAACCTTTAAACTCCTGAAATCCTTGAAACTGTTGAAACATTGAAACTCCTGAAATCCTTGAAACTTTTTTAAACCTGGAAACTGTTGAAAGTGTGGAAACTCCTGAAATCCTTGAACCTCCTGATATCCTTGAAACTGGTTAAATTCTTAAACAGCTGAAATCCTTGAAACTACTGAATGTATTGAAAGTGTCCTTGAAACTGAAAAATCCCCTCACCGCTGAAACAATTTGGTTCCTGTAACTAAGGAAACCTGGTCTGTGGTCATTATCTGGTGGTGGTCTGAGTCTTCGTTTGGGTCTTGGTCTGGTGGTATAATGCAACCTATTAGGTTGCATTATACATGAAAAAACCCTATTAAGTTGCATTATACTGGTTTACATGAAAAAAACCCTATTAAGTTGCATTATACTGGTTAACATGAAAAAAACCCTATTAAGTTGCATTATACTGGTTTACATGGAAAAACCCCTATTAAGTTGCATTATACTGGTTTACATGTAAAAACCCCTATTAAGTTGCATTATACTGGTTTACATGGAAAAATCCCTATTAAGTTGCATTATACTGGTTTACATGGAAAAATCCCTATTAGGTTGCATTATACTGGTTTACATGTACAAATCCCCATTAAGTTGCATTATACTGGTTTACATGAAAAAAACCCTATTAAGTTGCATTATACTGGTTTACATGGAAAAACCCCTATTAAGTTGCATTATACTGGTTTACATGTAAAAACCCCTATTAAGTTGCATTATACTGGTTTACATGGAAAAATCCCTATTAAGTTGCATTATACTGGTTTACATGAAAAAACCCTATTAAGTTGCATTATACTGGTTTACATGGAAAAATCCCTATTAAGTTGCATTATACTGGTTTACATGGAAAAATCCCTATTAAGTTGCATTATACTGGTTTACATGGAAAAATCCCTATTAGGTTGCATTATACTGGTTTACATGTACAAATCCCTATTAAGTTGCTTTATACTGGTTTACATGTAAAAACCCCTATTAGGTTACATTATAGTGGTTTACATGTAAAAATCCTTATTAAGTTGCATTATACTGGTTTACATGTAAAAACCCCTATTAAGTTCCATTATACTGGTTTACATGTAAAAACCCCTATTAAGTTCCATTATACTGGTTTACATGTAAAAAACCCTATTAAGTTGCATTATACTGGTTTACATGAAAAAAACCCTATTAAGTTGCATTATACTGGTTTACATGGAAAAATCCCTATTAAGTTGCATAATACTGGTTTACATGGAAAAATCCCCATTAAGTTGCATTATACTGGTTTACATGGAAAAATCCCTATTAAGTTGCATTATACTGGTTTACATGGAAAAATCCCTATTAAGTTGCATAATACTGGTTTACATGGAAAAATCCCCATTAAGTTGCATTATACTGGTTTACATGGAAAAATCCCCATTAAGTTGCATTATACTGGTTTACATGGAAAAATCCCTATTAAGTTGCATTGTACTGGTTTACATGGAAAAAACCCTATTAAGTTGCATTATACTGGTTTACATGGAAAAAACCCTATTAAGTTGCATTATACTGGTTTACATGTAAAAACCCCTATTAAGTTGCATTATACTGGTTTACATGGAAAAATCCCCATTAAGTTGCATTATACTGGTTTACATGTAAAAACCCTATTAAGTTGCATTATACTGGTTTACATGAAAAAAACCCTATTAAGTTGCATTATACTGGTTTACATGGAAAAATCCCTATTAAGTTGCATAATACTGGTTTACATGGAAAAATCCCCATTAAGTTGCATTATACTGGTTTACATGGAAAAATCCCTATTAAGTTGCATTATACTGGTTTACATGGAAAAATCCCTATTAAGTTGCATAATACTGGTTTACATGGAAAAATCCCCATTAAGTTGCATTATACTGGTTTACATGGAAAAATCCCCATTAAGTTGCATTATACTGGTTTACATGGAAAAATCCCTATTAAGTTGCATTGTACTGGTTTACATGGAAAAAACCCTATTAAGTTGCATTATACTGGTTTACATGGAAAAAACCCTATTAAGTTGCATTATACTGGTTTACATGTAAAAACCCCTATTAAGTTGCATTATACTGGTTTACATGGAAAAATCCCCATTAAGTTGCATTATACTGGTTTACATGAAAAAAAACCCTATTAAGTTGCATTATACTGGTTTACATGAAAAAACCCTATTAAGTTGCATTATACTGATTTACATGGAAAAATCCCTATTAAGTTGCATAATACTGGTTTACATGGAAAAATCCCCATTAAGTTGCATTATACTGGTTTACATGGAAAAATCCCTATTAAGTTGCATTATACTGGTTTACATGGAAAAATCCCTATTAAGTTGCATAATACTGGTTTACATGGAAAAATCCCCATTAAGTTGCATTATACTGGTTTACATGGAAAAATCCCCATTAAGTTGCATTATACTGGTTTACATGGAAAAATCCCTATTAAGTTGCATTGTACTGGTTTACATGGAAAAAACCCTATTAAGTTGCATTATACTGGTTAACTATTGGACATATTTTTAGTGGTAGGGGAAACCGGAGTACCCGGAGGAAACCTACGCAGACACGGGGAGAACATGCAAACTCCACTCAGAAAGGCCCTGGTCCGACCGGGATTCGAACCCAGGACCTTCTTGCTGAGAGGCGAGAGTGCTATCCACTCAGCCACCGTGCCGCCCATGTTGTGTCCCTCAGTTATTACTCAAAAGTTCCTTCTTACAAGTGGAAGGATATTTACTCAAAATAAAATGAAAATCACTTGAAAGACCTTTCACAATAATCACATAACAATTCAGTTTCTCTCAGCACTGTTATTGATTCCCCATTGTAAGATAAATAGTACTGATCTCTTTTATAAATGACCTAGGTAGATGTTCTCCTGTAGATTATCTCTTGGTTTGGTCCCCGTGAAAATATGTACTTGTAGATACTATTAATTTAGCCTTTTTATGTAACCATGAAGTCCTTTGACCATGAGTGTTTTTCTTTCCTTAGACAAATGCCTTCCCGAAAACAAAAAGAAAGCTATGCTCTTAGAATTATCACACTTTTTTCTTCATTGAAGGATCCATTTTCTCAAAAAGGTTATGTAAGTATTGTTAATGTATCCATGGAAATTGAATTTGGTTTACCTACACGTTTTGTGTCGGTAATGGATATGTATAGATACCAATCATAACTGTACACTTTGTTTTCAGACTAATCTCGCCTCGTAATGAGACGGTGACCTCCTATTTGCTTAACACAATATCTGCAATACAATGTGAACAATAAGTCCACATTTCCACGATGTTGATAAAGACGACATTGTGTGTAAGTGTTTTACTGTTTCTCCCTTTAACCTGGTTTTAAACATTGTCAGAGAGGAGCTGTCACTTTAGCTGTGCTACAACTGAGGTATTTTATATTTATCTTTGTTAATGTACTGGGATTATTTATTTTAATGCTTTCTTATTTTGCTCAGCACTTCGAGTTGCATAGTGTATGAATTGTGCTAGACAAATAAACTTGCCTTACCATCGTACTTCCTGGTTCTGGTCAGGACTTGAGCTGCTGCATTTTGAATGTACTGCAGCTGTTGTTACAGTAGTCTAACCTACTGGAGACAAATGCATGGATAAGAATCTCCAGGTCTGCTTTAGACACTATGTTTAGATGGGGAAAAAGGATTTGATTTGGCTAATAATATTTACTGATTCTTTCAGCCGCTGGAATCGAGACTGAGTGTGCTAGAAAGTGACAAAGTGGAACTCTGGAAGTCCGCCACGGTAGACCTAATGTCCAATGAAGAAGAAGGCGTTGTGGACGGTGTCTCTGGATGGATTGTGCGGTCGCAGTCTTTTCGAAAGCCGGAGTTTTCTGAACTCTGTCAAGCTGCAGTCCCGGTTAGAGGTGGCGCGGAAGTACAGAGCCACGCACATTAAGCGTCTATCTAGAACCCTGCCAAATTACAACCCCGAGGAGGCTATTGGACAGTTCAGAGTTGTAATTTTTTAATTACCTATGTGTGAGCATAAAGCTGTGTGTGTGTGTGTGTGTGTGTTTTAATAAAGCTTTCTTTGTATGAACATATTCCTGGAAAATTTTCATTTCTATAAATAATACGAATATTTATATAAATATTATTACATTAATTATGAGGCAGGGTGACCAATAGTGACAGATCTGCTAGCCAATCACGAGAGATTATACTTATTTGAAAGTAGTGATTTCATCCAATGGGGAGTAAGCTACCAATGGGGAGTAATCCCACGTGGGCTGGCCACGTGTGATTTTTCAGCCAATCACGAGTTTGAAAGTAGTGGTATTCACCAATGCTGAATAGCAGCCTGGCCAGACGCTGCATTCATATGCTAATTAGGGCCATTAGCGCTCGGCGGTCGCAGTGTTTCGCTGCATTCATATGCAAAGTAGGGACATTAGCATGGTACGGATACGGCAGTTTGGAGGACAGGGCACCCTAACTGCGCCTTCTGAAAACTGCCTGAGATACCCGAAAAAGAGCGTGATTTCCTGCAGTTTAGGGTGACGAAAATCTAACTTTTCATGCAGTGCACCCCCCTGACCTAGAAATGGATTAAAGGGTAGAAAATGGATGGATGGATGGATGGACACGGTCAAATTTGTTTTTACTTCAAACACTTCAAAACTAGTTTTTGGAGCTCAAGTTTCAGTCTTCCCTCAAATATGAATTCATTGGACACATTGGATCACTTTTGTATGATTATATTCACCTGGATTAGGCTGCAGATACTCTGTAGTCTTGGTCATGATGTCCAGCACTGCTCTCGCCGTAATGTCCACTCTCTGATCACAATGGGGAAAAACACAAAGCCTTTAGAAATGAGCTGAAAGAGAAACTGCACAACTCCACAAAGACTCATTTATTTATTTCTTCCATAATTGTCTGGTAATTTTGCAGCGTAAAAATGAAATGGCTCACGGCGTGTTCCAGTCAGATACACACATGTTCTGTGGAGCTGCAGGACTACCACAGGGTGAAAGCGTACGCTGTGTTATTCAGAGCTTTCCACAGAAACATGTGCCAGCTGAGCCAAAAGTACCCTTAGAAATTGCATTATATGAACTATCATCGTGAGTGACTGTACTTTAGACAATCAATCATTTTAGACAGTCAACAATGTGTCCACAACAACCAAAAACACAAAATACCAGAACTAGAAAGTATTTGAAGCATGTACCGAAGTAAATCCAAGATATTAGTGCCATGTGGACCTACTCGGACTCTGAGGAGCACAGGGACTGGCCTCCTGCTGGTGCCCAGAGTCAGCACTAAAACCATGGGGAGGCAGCAATTCAGATTCATGCAGCTACCATCTGGAACAGTCTTTTTGAAAATGTGAGACAGGGTTCTTCTCTGTTTGTCTAATGTTCAAATCCAGGTTCTCTTTAGCTGTGCATAAAACTGAGGGATTGCACTTTTTTAAATGTACGTCGATTATTCATGAATTGAATGCCTTGTTTGATTGTGTCTTGTTTTGTTCAGCACTTTGAGTTGCCTTGTGTATGAACTGTGCTATACAATTAAACTCGCCTTGCCTTGCCCATTTGTATTTGGCTTTTTCCCACTGCGGCTCCATATTTATAGGACTAGTGTCGGGCTGGGACAACAGTGGGAAATCTGGGTGAGTTTTTCTTATTTTTTTTTTTATACCTGTGTCGCTTTTATCCAGCGGGGAAGGTTTCAACATAAGCAAACTTCTGTCATTCAAAATAGTAAGTAAGTAAGTAAGTAAGTTTGTATTTATATACCGCCTTTTCACTGCAGATATGAGTCTCAAAGCGGTTTACAATTGTTAATTTTTGGGCATTTGTCTCTCACTCCACACAGAGATGGGAGCGGGGTCGCCAGTACAGGAGGCGCATGCCAGAACTATTGGACATATTTTTAGTGGTAGGGGAAACCGGAGTACCCGGAGGAAACCTACGCAGACACGGGGAGAACATGCAAACTCCACTCAGAAAGGCCCTGGTCCGACCGGGATTCGAACCCAGGACCTTCTTGCTGAGAGGCGAGAGTGCTATCCACTCAGCCACCGTAAGAAATATTATTTCTTAAGTCACATCCCAGGACCCCAAGCATTTGCATTAAATCGACTACAGTATCTATATCATGCACATGGAATAATATATTGTTTTTAAACGTACCTGTATTTCTAAGGCCGATGTTATAAAAAAAAAGCACGGATTGTGGAAAAGTAACTTGTGACTTATTATTTGTACCATCCATCCATCCATTTTCTTCCGCTTTATTCGTTGCCGGGTCGCGGGGGCAGCAGTCTAAGCAGAGACGCTCAGACTTCCCTATCCACACACACTTCCTCCAGCTCGTCCGGGGGGACCCCAAGGCGTTCCCAGGCCAGCTGAGAGACATAGTCCCTCCAGCGTGTCCTGGGTCTTCCCCGGGGTTATTTGTACCTATTATTTGTATTATTATCCTGGTTTACTACTATTTTGTGGAAGGTTACAGCGAAAGAAAAAAAGACAGTGCAAGTTTAGTTTGCTCAAGCCTGGGACACACAGAATCAAGGCGGATTTTGGCTCCAATTCTCCCCTTCTGACAATCTTAAGGACGCCCGATCATGTACAGTAACCTCCGGTCAGTTATTCCTGCTGTGTGTGGTGTTAGATTGTCTTGACTTGACGTCTCGGTGTGTGTGGTGTCCCGCAAGGTGAAAGGAGTGCGAGTTTGTTGATGTGCCATGTAGCCAGAAAGAAAGGTAACATAGCGGCTTGGGAATGGGAAGCTTGGGGATCATTATCATATCATTAACAGTACAGTCTATGTTTACGTCGTCTCCACTCCTTTTGACCAACGTTCGACACAGTACGAACTTTTATACCTTATCTCTGAGGTTTGGATTATCTGCAGACAATTTTTAAATCTCACCAGGCTTTACAGTTAGGATGCAGGTTTTATACTGCTTCAGCTGCCATAAAAACATTCAAAATAATAAAAAATGTCTTTAAAAATGAGTGTTGTCTAAAACGTTATGTACTGTAGCCATCCATCCATCCATCCATTTTCTTCCGCTTTATCCGTTGCCGGGTCGCGGGGGCAGCAGTCTAAGCAGAGACGCCCAGACTTCCCTATCCACACACACTTCCTCCAGCTCGTCCGGGGGGACCCCAAGGCGTTCCCAGGCCAGCTGAGAGACATAGTCCCTCCAGCGTGTCCTGGGTCTTCCGCGGGGCCTCCTCCCGGTGGGACGTGCCCGGAACACCTCCCCAGGGAGGCGTCCAGGAGGCATCCGGAACAGATGCCCGAGCCACCTCAACTGGTTCCTCTCGACGTGGAGAAGCAGCGGTTCTACTCCCGTGTGACTGAGCTCCTCACCCTATCTCTAAGGGAGCGCCCAGCCACTCTGCGGAGGAAGCTCATTTCGACCGCTTGTATCCGCGATCTCGTTCTTTCGGTCATTACCCAAAGCTCATGACCATAGGTGAGGGAGGGAACGAAGATTGACCGGTAAATCGAGAGCTTTGCCTTTCGGCTCAGCTCCCTCTTCACCACAACGGTCCGATACAGCGACCGCATAACTGCGCACGCTGCACCGATCCGCCTGTCAATCTCACGCTCCATTCTTCCCTCACTCGTGAACAAGACCCCGAGATACTTGAACTCCTCCACTTGAGGAAGACCTCTCCACCCACCTGCAGAGGGCAAGGCACCTTTTTCCGGTCGAGCACCATGGCCTCGGATTTGGAGGTGCTGATTCTCATCCCAGCCGCTTCACACTCGGCTGCAAACCGTCCCAGTGCATGCTGCAGGTCCTGGTTCGTTGGAGCCAACAGGACAACATCGTCCGCAAACAGCAGAGATGAAATCCTGTGGTCTCCGAACCGGACCCCCTCCGACCCCTGGCTGCGCCTAGATATTCTGTCCATAAATACAGTGAACAGAACCGGTGACAAAGGGCAGCCCTGTCGGAGGCCAACATTCACCGGGAACAGGTCTGACTTACTGCCGGCAATGCGAACACAGCTCTGGCTCCGGTCATACAGGGATCGGATGGCCCTCAGCAGAGGACCCCCGACCCCGTACTCCCGGAGAACCCCCCAAAGGACACCCCGGGGAACACAGTCGAACGCCTTCTCCAAATCCACAAAGCACATGTGGATAGGTTGGGCGAACTCCCATGAACCCTCGAGTATCCGATGGAGAGTATAGAGCTGGTCCAGTGTTCCGCGACCGGGACGAAAACCACACTGCTCCTCCTGGATCCGAGATTCGACCATCGGCCGTAACCTCCTCTCCAGTACCTTGGAGTAGACCTTACCGGGGAGGCTGAGGAGTGTGATCCCACGATAATTGGAACACACCCTCCGGTCCCCCTTCTTGTAGAGAGGGACCACCACCCCGGTCTGCCACTCCATTGGCACTGCCCCCGATCGCCACGCGATGTTGCAGAGACGTGTTAGCCAAGACAGTCCTACAACATCCAGAGACTTTAGATAATCAGGGCGGATCTCATCCACACCCGGAGCCTTGCCACCATGGAGGCTACCAACCACCTTGGTGACCTCAGCCAGGGAGATGGATGTACCCGCCCCAACATCCTCAGCCTCTGCCTCTGTAACAGAGGACGTGACGGGGGGATTGAGGAGAACCTCAAAGTATTCCTTCCACCGCCCAACAATATCCCCAGTCGAGGTCAGCAACTCTCCACCCGCACCGTACATGGTGTTGGCAAAGAACTGCTTCCCCCTCCTGAGGCGCCGGATGGTTTGCCAGAATCTCTTCGAGACCGACCGATAGTCATGCTCCATGGACTCTCCGAACTCCTCCCAGTCCCGGGTTTTTGCCTCTGCAACAGCCCGGGCCGCGGCACGCTTGGCCTGCCGGTACTGGACAGCTGCCTCAGGAGTCCCCCGAACCATCATGGCTCGATAGGACTCCTTCTTCAGCCTGACAGCATCCCTTACTGCCGGTGTCCACCACCGGGTTCGGGGGTTGCCGCCGGGACCAGCACCAGAGACCTTGCGACCACAGCTACGAGCCGCCGCATCGGCGATTGAGGCAGAGAACATGGTCCACTCGGACTCCATGTCCCCCTCCTCCGCCGGGACCTGGGAGAAACTCTCCCGGAGGTGTGAGTTGAAAGTCCGTCTGACAGGGGGCTCAGCGAGACGTTCCCAGCAGACCCTCACTATACGCTTGGGTCTGCCAGGTCTGACCGGCTTCTTCCCCTGCCAGCGGATCCAACTCACGACCAGGTGATGATCGGTTGACAGCTCCGCCCCTCTCTTTACCCGAGTGTCCGAGACACGCGGTCGAAGGTCAGATGATACGACAACAAAGTCGATCATCGACCTCCGGCCTAGGGTGTCCTGGTGCCACGTGCACTGGTGGACACCCTTGTGCTCGAACATGGTGTTCGTGATGGACAAACCGTGACTGGCACAGAAGTCCAACAACTGAGCACCGCTCGGGTTCAGATCAGGGGGGCCGTTCTTCCCGATCACCCCTCTCCAAGTGTCACTGGCGTTTCCCACATGGGCGTTGAAGTCCCCCAGGAGAATAACGGAGTCCCCGGGCGGTGCACCGTCCAGTACCCCTCCCAAGGACTCCAAGAAGGCCGGGTACTCTGCACTGCTGTTAGGCCCGTAGGCCGTCACAACAATGAGAGACTTGTCCCCCACCCGGAGGCGGAGGGACGCGACCCTCTCATTCACCGGGGAGAACTCCAACACGTGGCGGCTGAGATGGGGGGCAATGAGTATGGCCACCCCAGCTCGCCGCCTCTCCCCGCGGGAAACTCCAGAAAAGTGGAGCGTCCAACCCCTCTCAAGGAGTTGGGTTCCAGAGCCCAAGCTGTGTGTGGAGGTGAGGCCGACTATCTCTAGTCGGTATCGCTCAACCTCCCCCACGAGCTCGGGCTCCTTCCCCCCCAGTGAGGTGACATTCCACGTCCCAAGAGCCAGATGTTGTGTGTGCGGACTGGGTCGCCGAGGTCTCCGCCTTCGACTGCCGCCCAGTCCTCTCTGCACCGCTTCACCACGGACCCCTCTGCAGGTGGTGGGACCACAGGAGGGACTGCCCACGTCATCCCTTCGGGCTGAGCCCGGCCGGGCCCCGTGGGCTAAGGCCCGGCCACCAGGCGCTCGCATACGGGCCCCGACCCCAGGCCTGGCTCCAGGGTGGGGCCCCGGCTGCGCCATGCCGGGCGACGTCACTGTTTTCGTGTTAGTGCTGTCCATGGTGTCTTCTGGACTGCTCTTTGTCTGACTCGTCACCTGAGACCTGTCTGCCATGGGAGGCCCTACCAGGGGCATGAAGCCCCAGACAGCATAGCTCCCAGGATCATCTGAGTACTCAAACTCCCCCACCACGTTAAGGTGGCAGTCCAGGGGGGAGCTGTACTGTAGCTATGTACTGTAGCTTTAAGTGAAATTGCAGAAATTTGACAGGGAAAAATAAAGAACAAACCAGTGGATATATTGAAGAGAAATGACTTGTTTGACTTTCCTTTAAACACTTAAATTGTTGTTTAAAAGTAAATCATGCATGTTTTAATCAGGTCCTTCTTTCTACTGGTGTTGTATAAAGGGGCCTGTTTTTGTTGTTTTTTTCCCCCAGCAAACTTTAGGAGCTCTGTCGATTGATATTTTGTTCCTGCAGGTGGAATATTTTACTTTGATACTTGCTCAAATGAGTATGTAGTTTCAGTACCAGCACAATATGTCTTCTTTAAAGGCTTCAGTACTTGCTTTGTTATGTTTTATCATCAATAATTGTTAACATACAAAAGTACAGTACATTGTATGACCATTTGAAGATATTGTTTATTCATAGCAAGTCTCACCTTTTCCATTTCGGTGAAGTCATCATCGAGCTTTGTTCCTTCAGCACCACCCACTTTCTCACTCACTTTCTGCACAGACAAAACAGAAAACACATGCATGAGAAGAATAGACAAAACTCCCTCAATGTTGTAGTGCGCACCACAGTTTGAGAAGCAACTCTTGCAAGAAATCAAATGTTCTATAGTTGGAGCTCATACCAACATGCAGCCATCTCCACACAGAAACCCACTGCTTCACATCGCGGTAGACACATTTGATTAGAAGATTCACGTCAAGGACAAACCACTCACTCCAACTGAATTGCTGGACATAGGTTGTTCCTTGGTATTTTAATTATTCATGTGTGCAAAGAGTGATTCAGACTCTGTCACACTCACACAGGGCTCAGAGATGGAAAGGTCAGCCACAATTGCTTAGCTCTCCGGTTTGTAACTGTCAACTCATATGACTCGAAGAATTCTTTCACAGTAATGTAATGTTGTGGGCGGTATAATTAATGTATAAGCATTAGCATAGTAGGTCTACAGGGTTGGATAATGTAATGAAATATAATAATCATGATAAAAAACTAAAAAGGGGGAACATGTGGGGACATGAAAACATAATTGTAGGAACATGAGGGATACTTTCCTAAACAGTGCTATATAACATACAACTGTCAGTATTCTAAGCATAACATTATAACAGCTCATTAAAGTCATGTTTACAGACTACAGTTTGCATCCTCGATTGTTTTCAAAAGACTATTTTTGGAAACAACAACACCTTTTTAAAAGTGATGTCTGCCACTTTGCCAATTGTATTTCATTCTCAAAATAATATATGTTACCACACTATACTGCAGTCAAATCTGTAAAAAAGTATTTTTCATAATGATACATACAAATACATAACCTAATAGATTTTCTGGAGGAGAATAGTGAGAGAGCTTCAGCTGTCTATTAAGAATTTTCATTAATTTTGTCTAATCAGGATCTTGTGGGGGCGGGTCTAACTTAACAATTTAAAAAGTGATTGACACTTCACTTTAACACAGACAATTTTACAAAAAATACATTTTACTCCGTAGTAAAATACATCGGCTTGTTGATTTTTCAGAAACCTTCTCCTCAGAATGGAGTCAGCTGCAGTACTTAAGCGTGATCATAAAAGTATTTTGCAGACAGTGACAATGCAAATATAACTGTGCCTTTTCTGGAAACATGCTGTTCTCTCTGGACTGCTGGACGGAGGCAGAAAAACCATGAGGGCAATGAAGAAACTCACTCCGGACCTTGATTTCCAAATAGAGACATTCATCACATTTTTAAAAAGTTAATCTAATTTGGTCTATTTCCAAACCCTTCCACAAATATTATTTATATTCCTAAATCCGTTCAGTAAAAAGAAAAGACTTTACGGGCGCTGTAGTTTTCTGATTTGGTCCTGTACGTGGAATTTTTTCAGTAAAGATACCTGCTCAAAGGTAGTTTTCAATTCAATTCAATTACAGTTAGTTTTGTGTAGCCCTATATCACAACAGTGGTCAGTTGTCAATTCGCCAACACAGATCAGAGAATCAAACAGTTCTTAGTTAGTATTGAGTTTTATTACTAGCATTTTAGAATCATTTTTTTCCAACACTGAAATAAATGATAGTTATAGCAAAAAGCATTTTTTAACATGTTACATAAAAGCAAAATTTAAGCAAAGAAGTGCAATACATTTTCATGTTACAAATGAACACTGTTTATAGTAAATGAACACACATTCATGATATTCCACATTATACATGCACGGCTAAAATCTGGGCCTCCAACCAAATGCACGACAGCAGATGGAGAGTCCTTCATGCAAAACCAACAGCAGGCCTCTCCCAGCTCCTGGCCTTTCCCGACCACAAAGTCACATCCACCGGTCTGTCCATCACAGACAAACATGTTAAACTTAAGGGCCAAAAATAATGCGTAATACAAGTATATTGGAAAATTTACTTATTTTATGTTTGCGTCATTTCATGTTTTAGAATATGAAATTCTAAAACATAAATTTAATAAATGTCACATGTATGGACATTTATCAACACATATGGACACACCGATGTGCTTTCTGTTGTATTTCTTGTGTTTGATTCTCTGATCTGTGTTGGCCAATTCAACGGTTGTGAAAAGTCCTCAGAGATACTGTTGTGATTTAGAGCTATACAAGAATCCATTGAATTTAAATGAAACAAGTATGATGGGTGAACAATGACATTGGCCTGCCCCAATCGCCATCCTAAATACTTCTGCCACACCTTAGGTTGTTTATGGGCTTGAATATATCTATCAGTGTGATTTAAAACCCTTTTCAGTTTTTCCCCATTCTTTCATCCAATCACAATCACCTGGGGGGGACCATTGACCCTGCCCGAGTTTCCAAGTTGAATTTCCACCTTGAGCAGCGTTCAATCCCATTTTCCCGTGTGGGAAGATGGAACTTCCAAGTTTCTGAGATTGCATCGATGTCATGAGGTCGCTTTTCGCTGACAGAACAACTGTATACGTCTCCTTTAACACTACTGTTGCCAGCTCTACCCTGCAATGCTCCAGTGAACCTTGAGGGGGCGGCAGTTTGATGTAATAGGACTAGAGAGGAGCCCATGGCAAAGGGAGTTTTTTAGGCAATGTCACAGCGGCTTAAGAACTCACGTAGGCGCAGCGTTTCCACAGGCGGATTTATCAAATATCCAGGGACATATAAGAGTAGAATAAAGAGCATGTGTGACAGGGAGTGCCCGCCTTTATACCAGCGCTAAGCCGGTGACAGCTATTTATGCAGCGCAAGAGTTCCCGGGGATTGCTGCTGTGTGACTCATGTACCAGCACTGTCTCTCCTGATCTCATTTCTCTAGATCAGCCATTCCCAAACTCAGTAACACCGAGGCCCCCTTAAAAATCTGACGGGTCTGCGTGGCCCCCCAAAATAACCAAGAAGACCCCACTTTGGGAGACACTGCTCTAGATTAATGTTTTGACAGCCACAAAAAGGGGATTCTATAAAATTACGGACACGTCTGAACAATTTCTTATTTAATCAATTTTTAAACCAGGCATGTCAAGGGCACCATTGATGGTTATGGTTTATACTATGGCATATTATACATAATTTTAAATCTAATTCATTATTAATACGATTTATTCATTATTTAATCTGCCAAATATATTCAATTACATCTCATCGTTATCATTAGTCCATCTGATCCATTTCCTTTTCAAACTGTGTATAACGGTTTATCTTGTATTTCTGTGTGTGAAATTTAACCCTAGCTACTTTTATATCAGAACAATATTCAAATTAAGGTCAAATAAAAGTAATTGGATTAATTGATTAATTAATACCTTTAAAAAAATTATTTAAAAAAATCACTTCAATACTTTCAACCCCCAACCTTCTCTTACTTTTTAAATTCCCCCCTCCCTTTAGAGCTCAAAGAGTCACTACATGACTCTTTGGGCTTAGAGCTGATTGGCTGTGTGAGGGTGGTCCTCTCTTCCACTTTTCTGTCTAAAAAAGCTCATCTAAAAATCAAAAAATAAATGCATGTGAAAGCTATTGATAGAAGTAAGAGCATGGAACAAGTTAGATGGATTGTATTACATTATTCCATTTACTGTAGGTTGAATTTTAGGTATCCCAGCTTTAAACAGACAAGCTGTGTACATTACCTTAATATATATTGATTAAAAAAACAATTAAGTAAGTTGCTCTAGTCACAATATAACATGATTTCAAAGGACAATTTTGTACATAGGGAACCTGATGAAACAATCTTGCAATGATAATAATGTTATTAGTCTGTTACGTTGATGTATGTGGAAATATTTTGTGTAGGTAAAATAATAATAATTGTATCTAAATCTAATTTAAAGAAAAAGTGCTGCATAAATTGGTTATGGTTTTTACTATGAATAAATGCACGTTCTATGGATAAGTTAGCTAGCTATAAGGGGGGTTGGGAGAAGGTCGGCACTAGATCATAAACGGAATCGGGACGAAACCGGAAGTAACAATCCAACTTTCAAATTAGTTTTAGACTAATGAGTCCTTAAGTGGTGACTGGTTACGTTTTAAGTGTCTGAGTGAGATGTTTAAGGTTAGGGTTAAGGCTGGGTTGGGGTTATTTTATGGGAATGGCTGGTTAAGTTTAGGCATAGGTAGTTTGTTATATTTACTTCCGCTTCCGCCACGATTGCGTATATGATCTAGTGCTGACCATTCGGAGAAGCTATAGGTAGAGCACCACACTCAATTTCAATAATGTATGCATCAGAATAACCTTCAATATATTCTCAAATATATATATAACTAAATAACCAGGGGACATCATTTTTTGTTATGTTTTTTTGGATATATTTGACGACTCGCTTCTCATGTGTCTCTCTGTGTCTTCCATGTCATTACCTTCACCTGTGCTTCACTACACCCTCTCCTCCCCCCCTCGGGGCTGGTTGCCATGGAGACGAGATCCAGTTCTGAGCACGTGTAACTTCCTGTTCCCTCAGCTCTCGCTCCATCGTCAATCAGAGCCCAGGATCAAAGACTCGGCACCGGCACATCATTAACACTTAGTGGCTAACGAGAAATCGAGCCGCACAACTTTGAAATAACGAAGCCGATGATGGGTAAGGGAGTGCGTGTGTGTGTGTGTGCCAGTCACACAAATGCAATTAGGACAACCACTCTGCTGCAAACACAAGAGGGACATGTGGCACTGGCTATCATGGAACACAATCTGAATGTGTTTATGGAAATGTTCCCGTTGAGGTTTGGGAGGGTCTGACATTAACTGGAGAAATCTCAAAATCTAAATGTAAATGGAGGAAGTGAGACACAACATCTGCTGTATATTCAAAACACTGCAGCTCAAGTAAGTAATTCAGCATACAGATTTTTAAAAAGGTCAAGACAACTCAGTGACAACAATAGCAGCCCCCCCACAAAAAAGTTAAGCAAAAGCAAAAAGCCTGCACAAATAAGTAGGTCTAAGCCAAGTCCCGGCGATCCAAGATGGCGCCCTATTCAAATTAATGGTTGTGCTCAGTGGCGC